CAAGGGGGGGCCGCCCCCGGGGCGAGCAGCAACGGGGGGGCCGCCCCCGGGCGCGCTAGTGTCCCCGCCCCCTGGCGCCCGGCGGGCAAACGGCCACGCCCCCTGGCGCCCGACAACCTCAAAAGGTTGGGGACCACTGGTTTATAGTGTAGATCTGCCCTGAGAGCAGATGACTCCCGAGTCTTATGTCCTGGGGCTATCCATATGCTTTAAGGAAATAGGCGAGCAGCAACGGGGGGGCCGCCCCCGGGCGCGCTAGTGTCCCCGCCCCCTGGCGCCCGGCGGGCAAACGGCCACGCCCCCTGGCGCCCGACAACCTCAAAAGGTTGGGGACCACTGGTTTATAGTGTAGATCTGCCCTGAGAGCAGATGACTCCCGAGTCTTATGTCCTGGGGCTATCCATATGCTTTAAGGAAATATACTTACAAATATTAATATGCATAACTGGAAAGTGCTTTATGCAAAATACAGGTATCATTTGAAAAGATATAATCTGCTGAATGTGGTATTCTATTTGTGTGCATTTTATCTATTTATGTGCCTCTTATGTGAAGTTAGAAATATGAAGTATAAACCTGTTTTACTAATGTAGACATGCTAAATGAGGGCCATTAAGGGTATTTCAGCAACTTGATGGCTCATTGATAAGGTCCAATGATCTATAAATGGGTTTGTTTTTCCTATGAATCAGTCCCTAGGAGGGACTGAGATTCCCAGAAGGACTGTTCCCAACATGGCTCTTATGTTGTGTTTAATCTCTCTCTTTCCTGGCAGAACAAATTACTGTATAACCTTTGATCACAGAACACGCTGATCATCCTATTTCTCCTCGTTATTTGTGGGCTTCCTGAGAGACGTGGAGCAGGAAAAACAACAGAGTCCAGTGGCACCTTAAAGACTACACATTTGATTATGGCATAAGCTTTTGTAAGTTACAATGCCATCAGATGCATGAAGGGAAAGAAAAAGAAACAGATAGTGGTACAGAGATAGCTGTTTATGTCAGAGCTAATTCAATCAGGGTGGATGTGGACAAGATGGTGAGAACACCTAAAGTAGAAAATTACTTATGGTAATGAGTGAGCTGTTCCCAATCCCTATTCAGACCCATTCTGATGGTGTCGAATTTGCATATGAATTCTAGCTCAGCAGTTTTATGTTGCAGCCTGGTTTTGAAGTTTTTTTGCTTGAGGATGGCTACTTTCAAGTCTGTATCTGTGTGTCCAGGGAGGTTAAAATGTTCTTCCACTGTTTTTTGTATGTTACCATTTTTTTATGCCTGATTTGTATCCTTTCATTCTGTTGCATAGAGACAGTCCGGGTATGTTCAATATGCATGGCAGAGGGGCATTGCTGGCACATATTACATTAGTAGGTGTGCAGGTTGTAGCGGCGCGTCGGAGTTTCCCCAACTCCTGCACCCCCGTAATGGCACGGACGGGCTCCACCAGCCAGTAGAATAGAGGGAGGTTATTGCTTCTCCACGATATAGCACAGCATAGACATGATGTGGACATAAGGAGTCAGGGGCTGGCAGCCCCGGCCCCCTCGGAAGGCTCGTTCACCTGTGTGACGTAGTGGGGGGTACCTTGCTGGTTGCTATGCTGGGCAGTGGGTTGTGAGTGACCTCCACTGGCTGCTGTCTGCAGCACGGCCCAGCAGGGCAGGGGATGAGTCATTATGCAAGGGTGATAGAAATGTAGCCGTGTTAGTCTGGCAGCCCCCTTGCATAATACAGGACAATGTAGCACTTTAAAGACTAACAAGATGGTTTAAGCCTTTGATGGTATCGCTGATGTGGGTAAGTCTTATGATGTTACAAGGATAGATGTATGGACATCTAGATAGAGTTGGTAACGGGGTTTGTTGCAGGAATTAGTTCCTAGGCTAATGTATCTGTTGTGGGGTGTGGTTGGTGGTGAGTATTTGCTTCAGATTGGGAGGCTATGTGTAGGGGAGGACTGGCCTGCCTCCCAAGATCTGTGAGAGCAAGAGCTCGTCATCTAGGATAGGGTGTAGGCCCTTGATAATGTGTTGGAGAGGTTTTAGCTGGGGGCTGTAGGTGATGGCCAGTGCCATTCTGTTGCTTTCTTTGTGGGGTCTGTCCTGTAGTAGGTGACTTCTGGGTACCTGCCTGGCTCTGTCAATCTGTTTCTTCACTTCCCCAGGTGTAGTTTTAGGAATGCTTGATAGAGATCCTGTAGGTATTTGTGTCTGTCTGAGGGATTGGAGCAAATGTGGCTGTATTTTTGGGCTTGGCTGTAGACAATGGAACATGTGATGTGTTCTGGATGAAATCTGGAAGCATGCAGGTAAGTGGTCAGTGGTCAGCAGGTTTCCTGTATAAGGTGGTGGTTATGTGACCATCACTTGTTTGCACTTGTAGGCTACATCTACACTACATGCTTCTTGCTCAAGAAGCCTTTTGCGCAAGAGTTTTTGTGCAAAAACTTTTTGCAAAAGAGCATGTCCACACCTCAAAGCACATCGCAAAAGCGAGGTGCTTTTGCGCAAGAGAGCATCCACACTGCATGGACGCTCCTGCGCAAGAAAGCTCTGATTGCCATTCACAGAATGGCCATTAGAGCACTTGTGCCTTTTCCCATAGGGGTTTCTTACACAACAGAACATCACTGGCCATCACCTACAGCCCCCAGCTAAAACCTCTCCAACACTTGCGCAAGAAACTCCTCTGGAGCATCCACACTTGCCTTTTTGCGCAATAGCTGTAGCGCAAAAGGGAGTTATGCTTCGTAAAAGGAGGTTTACCTACACCGGCAAAAGCCCTCTGTTCTGCCATTTAACTGCTGATTCACTTGTGCAAATGCTCATTTTAGGTGTGGACGCTCCGCAGGTTTTTGCGCAAAACCATTTGGTTTTGCACAAAAACCTTGCAGTGTAGATGTAGATGTAGTGTCCAGCAGTGGATCTCTTGTGTAGAGTGATGAAGGTTTTGCTGAAACAGACTAACATGGCTACCTCTGAAACCCATAATCCTGTGGAGGAGGGATATTTAAAGAAAACAAAGGAATTGTGCCAGTGATATGACCCAGTGGCTGTGCTGGTTACTTGGGAAGCAGAGACAGATTGCAAACAGTTTATGTAGTGGTTAGTATTCAGCATTGTATTGCACACTAGTATACTTAATAAACTCTTATGACTGCAGTGATGTTCTGCATCCAATAGTGATCAGGCCATAAGCCACATGGATAACAGGACCCCTTTCTGCATGTAAAATAGGAATAATTATATTCAGATAAGTAGAGCTGCAGCAGTTTTGTACCAGACTAACAGCTACTGCTCCCATCCACCTGAGTGGGGATGTAGCAGAAACTCACCCAGTCTAGCTTCACAACAGCTTCACTGCCTCAGTTTCTTTCTCAGCTGGAAAACCATCACTGGCTCCTAGTGTGATGGAGTCACCGGGGTGACTTAGCCCTCCTAGGTGCCAATCAATCCCTTCATGCCTCGTTGGTGGCTCTAGTGACTCTGGCAACTCATAAGGTGACATCACAGTAGGGAACTCATGCCCACTCTCTACTACAGCCCTAGGACTCTAAAAGAATTGAGCTGTCTGCTCTGTACCTTAACCTACCCTGTCTTTCTTTCTAGGACCCCTCCCTATAGAATCATAGAACACTAGAATTAGAAGGGACCTCAGGAAGTCATCAAGTTCAGTCCCCTGCCCTCATGTCAGAACCAAGCACCAAGAAAAAAAACCAAGAGCAGGGTTCAGCAACCTTTCAGAGGTGGAATGTTGAGATTTGACTTATTTGCCTCTACATACGGGTCCAAGTGCTGGTGATACTTTTTAAAGTCAATAATAGTCCTACTTACAGCAGCTTCATTACTAAATAAATGAAGATGAAGGGATTGGCAACCTTTCAGAAATGGCGTACCAAGATTTAACTTATTCACAGATCTGTGTGCTGGGGGAAGAAGGGGATAGGGGAGGCAAGGGCAGGCTGGGTACAATTACCTTATTTTCTGAACCAGCTGCAGCCGGGGAGAATGGTTTAATTTAAATTATGAAGCAGATTAAGTGTTTTAACTTTCTCATGTTAGTTTATCAAACTTCATTTTAAATAAAGTAAAATATTATGTCCAACACTAAAGGTTTCAATGTTTTCTTTATTTATGGCAGGGGTGAGGAATCCTTTTTGGGTCAGAGGTCATTGACCCACAGAAAAAAATCAGTTGGGGACCACACAAGTGAGAAGCAAAAAACCTCCTCCAAAACCCCACCAACTCTCACTGATGTGGTCCCCAAATGAGACACCTCACTTCTCTGGTGCTCCCGCCCATGGGGTGAGGGGAAGAGACAGGGAGTACTGAGGTTTGGGGCTTCCCACAAGCCAGAATTACTTTTCTGGGGTTCCAGTGGATTTTGTGGACCCCCTTAGGCTCTAGGGTGGGGACAAAAATGTGGGGTTCAGTGTGTGGGACAGGGCTGCCAGCAAGTGGGGTAGGGATGGGCAGGAGGTGGAGTGTAGGAGTGGTGAGGGCGAGAGGTCTCGGTGGGAGCTAGGGTGCAGAAATAAGCTGGGAGTAGGGTATCTGGCCAGGGGAAGAAGGCAGAAGCAAGGGACAGGGAAGGAGAGGGCTGAGGGCAGGCTGTCTGGCCATAGGGCAGGAGCAGACAGATTTTCTGGCAGAGAGTGG